GCCTCCCAAAGTGCTGGGATTACAGGCATGAGCCACCGTACCCGGCCTTTATTTTTTACTACTAAATAAATGATGCTTGAACAAACCTTGGGCCGTTGGTACAGTTTCGACAATAGGCAATTTGAATTTTTTGAAACAGGTTTAATGCAGTACGTGTACACACACACACACACACACACACACACACACACACACTCTAACACACACACACACTAACACACACACAGTAATGAACTCCTTTGTACTGATCACCTGCCTTCAACAATTCATGGATAATCATCTTCATCTAACTTTCCCAATTATTTTGAAGTAAACTCAGGCATCATGTTATTACTTTAGTATATATTTCTAAATATGTATTTCTTTTCTTTTCTTTTCTTTTTTTTTTTTTTTGAGATGGAGTTTCACTCTTGTTTGCCCAAGCTGGAGTTCAGTGGCGTGATCTTGGCTCACTGCAGCCTCCACCTCCTGGGTTCAAGTGATTCTCCTGCCTCTGCTGGGATTACAGACGCGTGCTACCATGCCTGGCTAGGTTTTTTGTTTTTTTTGTTTTTTTTTTTTTAATATATTTTTAGTAGAAACGAGATTTCACCAGATTAGGCAGGCTGGTCTCAAACTGACTTCAGGTGATCCGCCCGCCTCGGCCCCGCCAAGTGCTGGGATTATAGGTGTAAGCCACCATGTCCCACCTCTAAATATTTATTTCTTAAAGATGAAGATTACTCCTGTTTTGTTTTGTTTTGAGATGGAGTCTCGCTCTGTCACCAGGCTGGAGTGCAGTGGTGCTATCTTGGCTCACTGCAACCTCTGCCTCCCAGATTCAAGCAATTCTCCTGCCTCAGCCTCCCTAGTAGCTGGGACTACAGGCACGCATCACCACGCCCAGCTAATTTTTTTGTATTTTTAGTAGAGACAGGGTTTCACTGTGTTAGCCAGGATGGTCTTGAGCTATTGATCTCGTGATCTGCTTTCCTCAGCCTCTCAAAGTGCTGGGATTACAGGTGTGAGCCACTGTGCCTGGCCAAAGATTATTCTTTTTTTAAACATAAAAGTACCTTAAATAATATAACTACACATCAATAAATGAATTAATTATTGAAATCAAGTTTTCCATCAGAGTTAAAAGCTTCCCAAATAGCTCATGATTTCCTATGTTTCTTATTTGTTTGAATTAGGGTTTATATATTACATTGGTTGGTATGTCCCTTTAGTATCTTTTAATCCCTAGGTTCTCCCTGGATCTGTTTTTTTCCCTTGTAATATTTGTTTATTTTTTGAAAAGCTGGTTGTTGGTTTTATTTCTTCAAATATTCCTTCAAATGTATATTCTCATTCAACCTTTTTATGAAATTGTGATTAATATGAACTTTTAAAGTTGGAGTATTATTTATACAATTAAATCTACACATCTTAAGTGTTTGGTTTGAATTTTGATCATTGTATATACGTGGTATCTACCACTCAGTATATTTTGTTTCTAATTGTAATCCTTTTTTTGATGGAAAAAGGAGAAATCCATGCTTTAGACTGTACAGTTTAGAGTAACTACAATAGCAAGGAGAAAAGAATAATAATTTATTAATCCCAGCACTTTGGGTGGCTGAGTGGGTGGATCACCTGAGGTCGGGAGTTTGAGACCAGTATGACCAACATGGAAAAACCCTGTTTCTATTAAAAATACAAAAAAATTAGCTGGGCACATGTCTGTAATCCCAACTACTCGGGAGACTGAGGCAGGAGAATCACTTGAACCCAGGAGGCGGAGGTTGCAGTGAGCTGAGATTGCGCCATTGCACTCTAGCCTGGGCAACAAGAATGAAACTCTGTCTCAAAATAATAATAGTAATAATTTCTTGCTATTAGAAATACAAATTAGGAATATAAAGTTTTCTGCTTTTCGTGAAGTAGCCAAATGGATGAAGTAAGAAAAAAATGGGTTTTGGAAAATACTACTTGTTAGCAGAGGGTTATGTGTAACGTACTAGTGCTGAAATATGTTGGAGCTAAAGGTCAGAAGTGTAAGTGCACTGCATTGGAATTTATATCTTTGCAGAAACATTGTGGCTATTTGGTTATTCTTCTAAATTGCATGCACTCTTTCCTGAACCCTGCATTTCTGTCCCTTAATTTTAAGCATTGGATGGACTTTACAACCTCTAAGTTTCTCTGAAGTAAGGAAGGTCATGTGGTTATTGCTGACTAGCAGTTAACTGTAGTTGAGGCATAGATACGTCTTGAGTATGTTATTTGAACAAATATTAGCTAACTTGTTTCTTTCATCTTTTGTTTGTCTATGATTTGAATTTATTCCTGTATTTAACCTTGGGAACTTTTATTGATTGACTGTTTTGTTAGATTAGTGCATTGATCTTAGTTTGATACTAGTAAGAAAGGAGAATGGAAGTTACTAAGAGTTACTGAGTGGCTACTTTTTGAGCAGTTGTCTTAAATATAGCACCCTCGTACCTACCCAAGTGATGGAGGTGATGATAGCCATTTTTTTACAATGCTTAGGTCAGGAAACAGAATCAGAGTTCTGGTGATTTGCCTAAGGCCATGCATCTAGTAACTACCAAGAACAAGGATCTAAACCCTGAACTTTTACTCTAGAATTACTTAAAAGTTTTCACTAAAATGTGCTTTCTTAGCTTGGCATGGTGGTACATGCCTGTAGTCCCAGTTACTTGGGAGGCTGAAGCAAGAGGATTGCTTGAGCCCAGGAGCTTTTGAAGCTGCTGTGAGCTGTGATCTTGCAACTGCACTCCAGCCTGGGTGACAGAGTGAGACTCTGTCTCAAATAGGTAAATTACATTAATAAATAAAACTTGCTGTTTTCATGCACATTAGAAACCTAGGCAGTACTAAGTATCCCTTTGCAGTCTTAGCTTCTTAGATTAAAGGGCTTTTATTTAGTACATGAAAAAAACGGTACTATTTAAAACATAAAATTTTATCAAATTGAATTGTGATAAAAATGTCAGCATGAACATACAAGTCTGAAGTTGTTTCAAGAGAAAATTTTGCACTTCAAATTAGTAAAGCAAAATAATTTGTGTAATGTCTATAATGCAATATAATGACATGAAACCCGTATTACTGTTTCTAAAGGCATTTAATAGGAAAATAGTTTATGGAAGTGTCTTTAGATAATTCAGTTCAGGAAGAATGGTTTTCTTATAACTTGAGGTTACTTAAGTTTTTAGGTCTTTTCGTTGTTTTAAAGTGAAAATCTTTTCATTTTATTAAAAATAGGTTCATAAATTTAAAAGCTTTTTCATAAAGTAGCATTACTAATAGAAATTTGTTTTTAAAGAGGTGATATCTTGTAAGTCTTCTCAAAATTGTTTACCTATATTCAGATCTGTGTATGATTCAGATTTTTTCTTTCTTTCTTTCTGTCTTTTTTTTTTTTTTTTTTGGAGGTAGTGTCTCGCTCTGTCACCCAGGCTGGATTGCAGTGGCGCGATCTCAGCTCACTGCAACCTCCACCTCCCGGGTTCAAGCGATTCTGCTGCATCAGCCTCCTGAGTAGCCGGAACTACAGGCGCGTGCCACCACACCCGCCTAAAACTACAATAATTTTTTGTCTTTTAGTAGCTATGGGGTTTCCAGAATGGTCTTGATCTCCTGACCTCGTGATCCGCCCTCCTCCCAAAGTGCTGGGATTACAGGCATGAGCCACCACACTCGGCCTTAAGTTTCTTTTTTAAAACCTTATTTAGGTTGAAGAACTACAGATTTAGTTTCTTAGATGAAAAAAGGACTTCTGTGGCTATTTCTTCTCTTTTCTTTTCAAATCTTGAGAACATGTTACCAATGATAATTAATTTTAATCATCTGAATTTAACTTTTCTGTTGGGTACTCTATTATGTAAACAAGTTTTGGATTTTAAATCTTTTAATTTAAGTTGTTACATATACCAAGCTTATTAACTAGAATTTTTGTTCCCAACAATGATCTTTCTACCCTCCCCTCTCCAAAAAATTCTTGATGGTTTAAGAAAACGAATCTGCTTTCATACTTGCCATAGTATATTTTTAAAGAAATCTAGTTGCCATTTTCTTGGTTTCATTGAGCTTTTGTGTTCTTAGAAGAAACATCAGAAAAAATATGGTGGTTTTCTCTACTGGAAGTATAAATGGCTTCTGGAAAGGCCTTTTTATGTAAAGTTGGTTGGGTTAAGACAACTGGAACAACTAGTTAAGCTCATTCCTTCTGTACTTATTTTGAACTTCAAAGCTCCTAGTTTTAACCTCTGGTTCAGTCCCATCTTACTAGATTTAAGTGGCTTTTGTTTTGTTTGTTTTTTTTTATGCAGGTTCTGCTCATTAATCACCACGAGTGTGGATCTGAAGAAGAGTTTATTACCTCTCTTTTTTTGAGTATGTTTAACTTCAGATACACACAACGTAGCTTCTCCTTCCCTATTAGATTCTTAGAAGGTAGTTATATTTTTTATAGTCTCCTTCTTGTGGCTTTGGTAGTTGTGATCAATAAGCATAAAACTATTCCTTTCATACTGGGCTACTGCATGCAAATCAGTTCATTTAAAACCTCCTGGAGGTCTTTGGCATGCCAGACATAAAACTTTGAGTGTTTGTTTGTGGAGGTAACCATGTTCCAATGAAATATAAGAGTTTAATTCTTTTATCAAGCATCTGGGAGAATTATAGTTTCTGGGAATTACTGACTTTAAGGGGCTTGCTTTTGGTGTGTGGCTTTCAAAATTAATTTAAAATGGGAAATGATAAATTAGAAATACTCCTGTGGTGTTAGTTGTATCTCTGAATGAGTAGTAGAGAGAAATTAGCTTGCCTTGTACCTATTGTATGCTTAACAAAATAGCCTATTTATCATGCTTTATTAAGCATTAATGAGCATATATTTTTCATGTTTGCAATTTTTAGACAAATTGATGTACTTTTTCTCTTGTACATGGATATGATGAATAAAATATACATAAAATTGATACTTTACATATATATATGTATTTATCTAGGGCTGGAAGAAAGAAAGAATTCTGGCGGAATACCCTGATGGCAGGATAATAATGGTTCTTCCTGAAGACCCAAAGTATGCCCTGAAAAAGGTAAATTTCCAGTGAAACTTCATGCAGAGTGGATATCATTTTGCAATTAATTTTTTTTTTTTTTCTGAGACAGAATCTTGCTCTGTCGCTCAGGTTGGAGTGCAGTGGCACGATCTTGGCTCACTGCAACCTCTGCCTCCCGGGTTCAAGCGATTCTCCTGCCTCCGCCTCCTGAGTAACTGGGACTACAGGCGTGTGCCACCACACCCAGCTAACTTTTGTATTTTTAGTAGAGACAAGGTTTCACCAAATTGGCCAGGCTGGTCTTGAACTCCTGACCTCATGATCTGCCTGTCTCGGCCTCCCAAAGTGCTGGGATTACAGGCATGAACCACTGTGCCTGGCTCATTTTGCAGTTAATTTTAAGAGGATAACAGATTGTTGGCATAGTGTATTTAAACATCTATTCTGAAAGCAAGAAATAAGCATTTAAAGGGTATAACCCAATTCAAAAATTATGTTGAACTTATAGTGTCCAGTATATGAACTCTAAATGAATTGAGTACTGTCCAGTATTATTAGTAAATTGTCCTCTATTAGTAGTAGTTAATAATTTGAGTGCCAAAGTAGACATGCTTATCTTCTATTAAGTGAGCGATGCCAACTAAATGATTTCACGATCTAGAAATAAAAACTTAATTATAATAATTTGGAAAATCAATAAAATGTAAAGTTTCATTCTAAGGGAAAATTTCTAAATAAAAGCTTATTGCAGAAGGGGATTGCTAAGTAGGTCATAGTAAACCTGAAATTAAACATGACTTAATCTTACAATATTTTTAAGAGATAAGGCTATATTCCAGTTTATAAATATAATGGAGAAACATAAAAGTTTATCTTATCTAGTGTGAGGCAAGTGTTAGTCAAACTTAGAGTTCCATATACTTCAAGTATTCAGAGAGTTTATTGTGTTGAGAAATGAACTAGAGAGATAATGAACCCTGGAACCATTTTATTATGTAGATTATTTAAAAAATCAGGAACCATAAGGTAAACTTATTTTTAAATAAGTTTAATATGTTCATTGCACTTTCAAATAATATACTCAGTATGTTTTTCTTCAACCTCTGGATGCTTTTTCAGAAGAAATACCTCATAATGTAAGCAATGGGTTCAATTGCGTATCTGAAAAACGAATAATTACACTAGAGTTTGTCCCAGATGTCTGGAAACATGAGAAAAACAGTTTATTATACTTTTTTTTAGGTTAGCAATTGGACTTCTTTAAACTTAAGAATACTTCACCTGGAAAGATGGTTGAAGGAAAATACTTTGCACCTGTTATTTGAAAGTTTGACTAATAGTCTATTTAAAATATGTAAGTTTATCTTCTGGTTCTTCAGATACTCTGTTTATCTGAATGGACAATCTTAGATACCTAAATAAGCTTTCATATTACTGCTGCCTAACAGAATAGACAATAGTATTTACAGTGACATGTAAATATGCCCAACCTGTCTTGTATTTGAAACATTGATTCTTGCACAATAGTAAATTCTTGTTGAGTTAATGTGGGATCAGTGATTAACCACAGTGAACCCACAAACAGTGTAGTAGTTATGGGTGCCGGCTTCTCATGCAGCCAAAAATCCAACTCTAACTTTTTTTTTTTTTTTTTAAGTGACAGGGTCTCACTGTGTTGCCCAGGCTGGTCTTGAACTCCTGGTCGCAAGGGATTCTCCTGCTTCAGCCTCCCAAAGTGCTGGGATTATAGGCATGAGCTACCCTGCCCAGCCCAAGTACAACTTTCGATTCCCCCAGAACTTAACTACTGATAGCCTACTGTTGACTGGTAACCTTATTGATAACATAAATAATTGATTAAACCCATACTTAAACTAGTATCTACGTATACTCTCTGCATTCATGACATACCTAACATTTTCTCGATTTTTTTTTTTTTTTTTTTTTTTTTTTAGAGTCTGGCTCGCTCTTTCGGCCTGGCTTGGAGTGGATGGACCGATTTTTACTTTCCCTCATCAGTCTCCAACCTCAGTAGAAGATGTATTTCCAAGCAGGACCATTCACCAATCTAAAATTTTTTCCTTTTTTTTTTTT